GCCTGGGCGACAGAGCTAGACTTCGTCTCAATAAAAAGTAATAATAAAATAAATATTTTATAATAACTAGTCCTTACAGCATATGCAAAGTATAATGGTTAGCAGAATGCTGGAATTGCTTTTCTTTGTATCCAGTGTTAACACTGTCAAAACTTCTAAGGTGGAAAAGTCTTTATCAGTGAAGTTTTTCTGTTGCTTATTTATGTTACAATTATACATTTTAAAGAAACATGAAGTATAAATACAGACTACTCTTTGATAAGCCTTGTATTAAAGTATCAAATGGTGGTGTAGCTACAAAATTCCAATTCTCATTTTATGGTTAGTAATTTAAATTTGCTTATTTGAATTTCTTAATTTGTGAATAAGTATGTTTGCTATTTCCTTCAATTTCAGCAAAAGGAGATTTTTTGTAAGTTTAAGCTGAATATTGCTGTATAATATAAGGAATACATTCACATTGGTGTATATCCCATAGTTATAAAACCAGCCTATTGGCATTTGGGGAAAAAGTAGCTTTAACAATGAAATAAAGTTTTGTATCATTTAAATTAAAAGTTTAAATATTTCTTTGGAGTCCCATGAAGGCTGACCCAAGAGTTCAGACAATGTAACCAAAGTCTGGTTTTTCTATGTCCTTTTCTTGGCTCTGCTCCCTCTACATATATTCGATTCTAACCAGGTTTTCTGCTTGTGAGTGAGCCATTGAAAGAAAGTTCAAGCTCAAGGTTGCTATCCTCTGGCTGGCAAGTGTGAACAGCTGAAAAGCATTATCACAAATTGCCTCTGATTTGCTGAGCCTGATTACCAAAGTTGTAAAGGCCCACCTCACTAAAATCCAAGAATGTCCAGCGTGATTATCCTTCAAAATAGAATTCCCTGAGTCAGAACATTAGAAATGAGAATTCAGTGATGGAGGCAACTTAGGAAGAACAAACGTTTAAAAAGGAGAGAGATAATTGTGAGTTTTTCAATAAATAAGCAAGCTAAGAAGACTAATGCATTAATTTTAGGCAAATAAGATGGATCCAGCTCACATGCTGAGAGACAGAAATAATACTGTGCATTGAGAAAATCTGGAAAAAAGGAATCTAAGTGCTTGCAAAACTATGAGCCCAGCAAAAGCTGGAGAAAATTCCTCAGTTCTGGAAACTTGTTTTAGATTGTGTATATTTATCTTTATGTTTTGTTATTTCTCCAACAGCTTTTTTTTTTTTTTGAAAAGTCCAGCATGAAACTGTTGTGTGGAAATTAATAACAAAAGCAAGGTCCCAAATAGAACAATAAAAGCTATTAACATATTTTGAATGGCCAGGTGTAATGGTTCAGGTATAAGAATTGAAAGGAGGTAAATCAAAGGGGCACAGAAAAATTCAAGGGAAAGGCCTGTGACAATATGTGTAGCTACCTAATCTCTACATGTTTTCTCTCCTGTGTACATTATTTACATGATGCCTTGTAATGTTAAAGTTTACCAAATATGTAATGGAAAGAAACTTACAAACTCACAAAACTGAAATATGTAGCACCTCACTTTTTTAATGCTAAATATACAAATATTTTTTCAGCTATCATCAAACGTTGAACTGTGTAGTAAGTGCACCCAGTCCACTGGCCCTAAATTGGACTAACTAAGCTATTTAACAACTTAACTATCTCATATTGTTGGATTAGGTTTCTGAGACCTAAACAACCACTTAATGCAGCGAAAAATAATTTAAAAGCCTGGCGACCGGTCGCAGTGGCTCACGCTTGTAATCCCAGCACTTTGGGAGGCCGAGGTGGGCGGATCACAAGATAGGAGGTGGAGACCATCCTGGCCAACATGGTGAAACCCTGTCCCTACTTAAAATACAAAAATTAGCTGGGCGTGGTGGCAGGCGCCTGTAGTCCCAGCTACTGGAGAAACTGAAGCAGGAGACTTGCTTGAACCCAGGAGGCGGAGGTTGCAGTGAACCGAGATCATGTCACTGCACTCCACCCTGGTGACAGAGGGAAACTGTGTCTCAAAAAAATAATAAAAAAAAAATAAAAAACTGGCAATATTTTATGAACTGGGTACTGGTAGTGATTACATTGACTGTTTTCATTATTCATTAAATTATAAATAAATATTTTTTGAACTTTTCAATGCATATGATAAATTTGTTGATAAAATAAGGAAATACAGTTTTTTTCAGTATTTACCATATTAATGTAAATTATTTAAAACCCAAAATACACTTATGATTAAATCAGAATTGTGATTATTTTATTTTTATTAGATAACATTTTCAAATAAAATATCTTCATAATTATCAATAAAAATTTGTGCATGCTTCTGGAAAGTAATGTTTTCTATCAGGTTTTGTGAATAAAACAGCCACTTGTAATTACTGTATGAGAATTCTTAATAATTATAACTACCAAATATTTACAATCGCCACCAACAACAAATTTGAATGTAAAAGTAAGTAACAGAATTTAAAATTGTTTTGAAAAAAAATCAGCCAAATATTTGACATTGAAATTCCATTCAAATAATGCAAATGGTCTCTTCTTTCATTGACAAATTTTATTTTGAATCAGTTTGGAACCAACTTCACTTTTTTGCTTAATATATTTCCAAATAACAAAGATGCCCTAATTTGCAGAAAACTTGTGCAGTTTTAGACCAGTCGTGCCAGCTTAGATGGTACTAACAGAATACATCGGCTGGAAATGAGCAGAATTATCTGGTCTGGGAACATAGAGACTAGACCACATACAGCAGCACCTAAAGTTGGGCACTGCACTCCTTGGGCACCTGAAAACCCCCTCAGCAACCCCTTGGGCCTCTTGTTCACAATGGGCTCTGTCCCCCTCTGCACGTGACAGCTGTTGCTGGTGTCCAGGGGGTGAAGCATCTCTTTGGTTGGGCTTTTAAAATGGAGCAACGGGTGCTATCTTGTCTCCTTGTTCTTGCTCCTGCCAAAGTTGTGGTGTGAGGTCACATCAGACCTCTTTACTCGTGACCACCCAGGGGCCCTTCCCAGGCTAAATCTGCCAGAGAAACCAGACTCAAACTCCCAACCTGAGTATCCTAGGTTCAGTACCGTAACCTCTAACCCCTTTTGCCATTCTATCTGCTATGCAGTAGTTAGAAAGCTCTGTCCCAGTCTATATTCATAAAGGAGAAAGAATGAGACCTTTGGAGAGAAGTACCTCAAAACCTTTTCATTAATAAGTCAGCCTCGGTGCTATGTCAAATCCAGGACCTGATAACATTTCACTTCTTTTGGGTGATGAAGTGAATGTGGTTAGTAAATAGGCACCATTTCATGAGCCTCAAAATATAAAGTTTCTAACATTTCTAACTTAATGTTTTTCCTGAAAGTTAAACCTTGGGATATTGCCCTTTTAAGTTAATGAAACATAATCTGTGTTTAAAATATATATAATTAATATAATTAACCTTTTATGTAAAACAAAAGATTTTATATGCCTTTAACATATGTTAGCATGTTTTTCCAGTTTGAATTATATATATGAAGAAACTATGATACAACAAATAAGAAAGAAGTATTTGACAATATCTGCATCTTTACTGAATTACACATACAAAACTTGTAAACATTCAATAATTTTAAAATAAGCTTATGCATTCTTAAGTTATTTTATATCTAATTTTCTTATTACATTAATTTTTAAAAATAATAGGCTTTAATTTAAATTCTAGTTATAAATATTATTAGATGTGGTTTTAATTAAAAAGTGAAATCAATTACATTTGCCAAGTCAACACAAGAAATTCAAATATAAAATAAGCCTGTTGACTTCACAGAACTAACTCAAGCTATTTGCTGATTCATTTTCCAGAGGGAGTGCTGGTGACTACAATAAATACAGTACTCAGATCACAATATATATTCTCTGCCTGCAATTTGCATTTTACTATTTTGTTAAGTAGTGGGTGGTTGTAGACATGAATTTTATACACCTATTTCTGTGTTATTATTAAAACATGAACTTCTAAAATATGTGCTTTAGAGCAAAACAAACGTTTTAAGGTTTCTCTTTAACCAAGCACTATAATTAATCTAGGCAAAAGAAAGATAGAAGCAAATACAGACATTCAGATTCTGCTTCATGAATAAAAGTTTTAAACAAAATTAAGAAAGTGAGATAAATATCATAATGAACATAAAAACTAGACCCTTCACTCTAACACCAATAATTTTAATCACATTAAAGTACTTAGCCAAAGATATCATATTCTAAGGCTATTCTCACAAAATGTTTTAGAACGTTTCAAAAATTATGGTATCTTTGTATAAACATAAAAATTACAGTGATAATTAATCAAGTCCCCTGCTTATGATATATTCTTTGAGGGGCATCTTCCCCTGAGTTCATTCAAAGTAGTAATGATACAGGATTTTTCTCAGCCACTTTGCCAACTGGGAACCTCCATGGCCTGCAACACCTCCAACCCCCCTCAAGGGCCTCACTCAGCCCAAGGCCTGCTGCTGGAGCACCCCACCTACTCGGCCTGCCTGTCTTATAGATTGTACCTGCATTCAGTAGTTCCTGAGCTATTGTCCCATGACCAAGAAGAATAAGGTTACACTGACAATTCAAAGGGTAAAGATGGGCAGAGAAGAATTTTATTAAGTGACAGAACAGCTCTCAGTGGAGAGGGGATGGAGGGGGTGGCCCCTCATCCCTGCATTCTGGTGGTTTCTCTCCCAGTGTGACTGGATTCGGGGCTTCTCACGGACACAGAATGGGGATTGCATGCTGATTGGTTTGTGAGTACGCAAGAATGATTAAAGCAAAGACATCACTCAAAGTTGGCAGAAGACAATGTAGAAAATCAATTGGGAAAGGGTAGGTAAATATGAAATGGGTGAAGTGTGGGAATCAATCAGAGGAAAGTGCACCAGATAGAAAGACAGGCTCTCAATACAGTTTATGGATTTCACTTGTAGCTTGGCTTTCAAGCTTTAAACTGTCTTTGGCTTGAAGGTAGGGTTTCACCAGGGACCTGCCCCATCTGCCAAGGCATTTCTGCCTCCTGCTGCTATCAGTAATAGGCAGTAGACGGTTTAACTTCTGTGTAGAGCCTGATTTTTTATTCTTTTTGTTATGATAACTATTTTTGTTTCTAAATGTAGGCATAATATCTAATAGGCCTGTACAGTACATATACTGCTATGGAAATAGTGACACGCCTTACCAAGAAGGCCTGACCCAAACTCCTCAGCCTCACCATTCAGGAAATTATCGCTATTATTAAAATATATGAATAAAACATCTCTTTGGAGTTCACCCTGTTTACCTACCTTAAAATCAAAGCAGAGGCAAGTACATTTTTCTAGTTGGGGATCAAAGCCTTGAAAAAAATCTCTGAGCTACAGGCATTTTGGCTGAGAGCACCGTCATTCCCATACAACCCCCACCTTCCAGGTCATACTGAAATAACTCCCCAGAAGTCCTTTTCTTCCCAGAATTCTTCTTTCTTTCAATTTATTCCTGGGATGAACAACGGTTTTGAAAATCAGGCTCTGCATCATTAACTGTGTGACCTCGAGCCAGTCACGTATCATTTCCTCATCTAGAAAACAGGATAAGGAGACCTAAATGTAAAGGGATTTGTTAAAATGCAGCACACAGCATGGGTCTCAGATTTTATTTCTAATTCTTAGAGAAAAAAAGAAGTCAAATTTACATATTGAAAAAATAAATCTCAATCTCAATCAGGCAAATTTGTGCCATATAATTTTGTTTGATTTTTAAAATAAGTATTAGATCTCTTTTTCCAAATAAGAACCCCTGTTACACAGATCTACTCAGTTTGTAATTTTCTTTAGGGTTTTCTTTAGAGCAAGTTTAACATCCTTGTTCCTGAGGTTATAAATGAGGGGGTTCAGCATGGGTACCACATTTGTATAAAACACGGAGAGTAACTTCCCCTGACCCATAGACCTATCAGATGATGACTTAACATGAGTAAGCAGCCCAAATCCATAGAATAGACCAACAGTTATTATGTGGGAGCCACAGGTACTGATGGCTTTGGACCAACCCTTAGCTGAGGACAAGTGAAAGATATTGAAAAGAATCAAAGCATAAGAGAGTAAGATAATGATGCTTGATACTATAACAACTGTGCCCACCGTAATAGACATCACCAGCTCATTGGCATAGGTGCTGCTGCAGGAGAGCTGAAGCAGTGGGAAGATGTCACACATGTAATGGTTGATGAAATTGGAGTCACAAAAGATGAGCCTCATCGTACACCCTGTGTGGACCATGGCCCCAGCAAACCCCATTATATATGAACCAAACATCATCAGAGAACAGATTTGAGGGGACATGGTGACCGTGTACAGAAGGGGTTTGCAGATGGCCACATAGCAATCATAGGCCATGGCTGTCAGCACGTAGCACTCGGAGTTGACAAAAAAGCAGAAGAAAAAGAGCTGAGTCATGCATCCTGGAAAGGAGATGATGTTTCTCTCTGAAATAAAGCTCATCAGCATTTTGGGGGTAAAGACAAATGAATAACAGAGATCAATGAAGGACAGATTGAGAAGAAAAAAATACATGGGGGTGTGAAGGTGTGAATTCAGACAAATTAGATTAATTAAACTCAAGTTGCCCACCATGGTGATCATATAGTTCACCAAAAACAGGAAAAAGAGAGGCAGTTGGAGCTCAGGTTGGTCTGTTAATCCCATAAAAATAAACTCAGTCACTGAAGAGTCATTTTCCACAGCTATTCACTTGCTGGGTGTGATCTGTAGGAACAGGGGTAAAAAGCTTTAATAATGGACCCTCAATCTGTCTCCAGAGGGAGAGCTGAATCTACTGGTTTACAACCCCAGGGATGTCTAAAGACACATAGCAAGGCATCCAAGGCTTAATACTTTCCATGGTGATTCCTTATAACTTCCTTTTCCTGCCTTTCTCCCCTGTCATGTTGTGTGTCTGACAGTGAGAATTCTGTACACCTCCCAATGTGTCTGTACGTAATTCCCTCCATTCTCCTCAAGCTTCTCTAAGAATTAGAGCTGGGAAAAGCAATGAATAGATGGTGTTCCCCCAGAACCTTCGATTTACATAGTTTTGAGTTTGAAAGGAAATTATCAGGGCAAAAGTGATTCAATGCGTACCTTTCTATCCTTGGAGGACTCACTGCTTCAGACCTCCAGGACCCTTCCTCCTCACAGTCCTGAAAGGGTCAAAGTTTCTGATGATGAAGGAGGTAATTGCCAACAGCACAGACCTCTGGCTTCGACATGTTAGAAGAGGTATTCTAGGGATTATGGCATAATTTCTGTTTGAGAATTTTCCCAGAAGCTTCTCTTCGCTTGCATGTAGGAAAGCAACCACTTTATAGAAGCCTCCTAAAGTCAGATGACTGGAATGAAAATCTATTTCATGTCCCATCATTCTGGGAAAGTTGGTTAGAAGCACAAAAAGTTATTCTCTGCTTTATGATTTCCAACCAACTTTAATGAGCCCCTTGAGGGTAAATATTACCAACCCTGTATTTACAACCTGTGTCACGGATCCAACATTGGCTCCTTTGGGACTCCTCAGTGTTCCACTCAGTTTATAATTTGACATCAGGAAGCCCTAATCCCCAATGCAGAAGGGTGAGCGCCTCAGTTTGTCATCATCCCCTGGAGTCAGTGCAAAATTCTACAGGGGAAATATCCGGGGCAGAGACAGTTGCCGTTTCTGCTACCTTCCCACAAGACCCTGGGATTGCGTTAGCAAAATACTGGATCATAGCTTTAACACTATACATGCTTGTGGATTCCACCTCAATAGAGATGTAGCAAAATGGTTAAGGAAATGGGAGCGAGCCCTCAAGTCAGGCTGATTTAAATCCAGACTTGTTAACTTCCCTGAGACCTCAGACAAGTGATAGAACTTATTTGCCCCTTGTATATGTATTTGTATCTATATAACCTATGCATATCTATAAGCTAAGGCTAATTTAAAAACTATCTCATAACATTATTGCGGGAATTACGTAAGTTAATTTACATAAAGTGTTAGAAATGTGCCTCACACATCAAAAGAACCTGATAGGTGTTGGCACCCCCACCCGTGTTATTCATTCATATGTATATAAATCAGGATTTCTTGATCTTGGTACTTTTTACATTTGAGTAAGTTTTGGTTATGGGGCTGTCCTGTGTAGCACAGCACAAACAACATCCCTGATCGTACCCATTAGATGCCAGTGATACTCCCCCCCCCCACCACACAGACACACTAAGCATTAAATCAGAATTTTCTCCATTGTCAGACATCCCCTGGGGAGCAACACTGCCCATATTTGAGAATCACTGCTGTCTGTATTGCCTGGACTTCTGTTGTAACTGTTTTTTGGAAAGCTATACTTTATGTCTATTTATGTGTCTCAAGTTCAAAGTGCCCCAAATTGAATTCAGTGTTTTCTTAGAATTCCCAGGGCTGCTCCTTTGCAGGTCATCATTTTATAAATTATTTTTGCCACTATCTGGGCACACAATCAACAAAACTAAACTTAAGCTCCTCCTTCTCCCTTACTATCTCTTCCAGTCTCCACGTCCTGGAGAATCCATTCCTTTGAATGATCTGGACTTTCTCTCAGTTCTACGGTTTTCACAGTCTCTCTCCATCTCCAATTTGGATTACTCTAACAGTTTTATAACTTAGACTCATTAAAGGTGAGAATTTGGACCTTTTCAGGTCTATCACCAGCACTGCAAACACACACACACACACCTCCTCTTCCTGCTCCCCAATATCAATTCCTACCAATAGGGTTATAATCATAAATTCAGTTATAACAATGTTCCTGTATTACCTTGTTAAGCCTATTTTTAAAACACTATTCACAAAAAATTTATCAAATATATAATTGTTTTTCTTTTTTCTTATAATTCCATATATTTTTTCCTTATTCCTTTGTAGCTTCATATATATGTAAATCTTTTCTCAGTACATGCAGTCATAGAGACTGAATTTCATATTTGTTTCTTTTTGTTTGTTTGTTTGTTTAAGCTGGAGTACTGTGGTGTGATCTCAGCTCACTACAATCTTTACCTCCCAGGTTCAAGTGATCCTTCTGCCTCAGCCTCCCAAGTAGCTGGGATTACAGGTGTGTGCCACCACACCCAGCTAGTTTTTGTATTTTTAGTAGAGACAGGGTTTCACCATGTTGGCCAGGCTGGTCTTGAACTCCTGGCCTGAAGTGATCCACCCATTTTGGCCTCCCAAAGTGCTGGGATTACAGGTGTGAGCCACCACGCCCAACCCAAAATTTCAGCTTTAATACTGATAAAGTTAACTGGAGGACATAGCTTAAATCAACAACCACACTGGGATAGAACAGCAGGTAAGGGAGTGTTATCCAGTTATTCACTATACTTCAAAGATGTTGCAGCAAATTAAGCACATTGGCAGGTGTTTATTGATTTGCATGTCTTCCGTTAGGACAGGGGTTTCCAGTCTTTTGGCTTCCATGGGGTCACAGTGGAAGAAGAATTATTGCGGCCACACATAAAATACACTAATACTAACACTTTTAATAAGTCACAAAAAAATCTCATAATATTTAAGAGAGTTTACAAATTTCTGTTGGGTTGTATTCAAAGCCACCTTGGGCTGAATGGGGTCCATGGGCTGTGGGTTGGACCAGCTTCTTTCGGTGACATCAGTCAAATCATTTGCCTGTTTATTAAAGGTTCTTTTTTGATATATCTTTTAATCAATGAGTTGAGATATCTATCTTTTAATTAATGAGTTGAGATGTGTATTATATATATGTGGACACAATATCTTTATCTAGTATTTAGTTAAAAATATTTTTCCAGCCTATACTTTGCCTATGAGTACTTTCCTGATAAATAGATAATCTCATTTTAATTAAGTTTCTTTGTTTTTTTCCTTTGGAGTTTAGTGCTTTATAGAATATCTTTAAGAAATCTATGACTGTACCAACACAATTTCATGTATTTCTTCCTAGAAGATCCATAATTTAAGATTTTTGTATACAATTTTGGTTCATTTTTAGAATGAGTTTTGTGTAGTGTGAGGTAGAGGTCAAGGTTCAACGTTTTCCTTATAGATAGGCAGTACGTCCAGCAACAATTGCTTCAAAGCCTTTTCTTTCCCTGTGGGATTACTCTGTTGCTTGGTCTACAATCAATTGACCATATGAGTGAGGCTCTGTTTCTGAATCCTCTATTCTATCCCATGGACTTGTTCACCAGACTTTATAACAAAACTAATCTGTGTTGATTATCACAGCCTTATACTAATTTGTAAAATCAGGTAATGTAAGTCTTCTTTGTCATTTAGGGTCCCCTAAGAAGGAGATGTCAAGAAATGATTAGACTTGCAACACTTTTTTTTTATAAATGTCTACTAAGGATGAAATTCGAGAAAGCAAGAGTCAGTGATGAAGGCCTCAGACCAGGATGAACGTCACCTATGAAAGGAGAAAGAAATGGAAAGATGAGGTAGGAAAATCTCAAACTATAGAGCAGTTCTAAAAAGTCTTGGTCAGGAGGATAGAGAGTCTCTAAGCAAAGATTACCTATCAGAAAAGGCCCATGTTAGATGGAAATTGGCCAGCTGTCTTTATGTCCCACCCACCCTGCTGAGTCACTGGCTGAGGGCATCTCAGAATAAGAATGGACTCTGCCTAAACACCATGCTGGATCCAAAGAAGTGCAGCTATGAATTTTCAGGCAGCTGTGCACCCCACTGATGGGTCTCTTAATGGGAAGCTGAGCAGTCCTTCTCTAAGGCTACTACGGTCCACCTCCAAAAATAGAAATTAAACCCTAAAGCTGTTCAGGTTTACAACTGTCATTTTTATACGTTATTAATTATTACTTAAAATAATACATTTATTATTGGTATTAACAAGCAAGATGCTCCAATTCAGCCAGGCACAGTGGCTCACTCCTGTAATCCCAGCACTTTGGGAGGCCGAAACAGGAAGATTGAGGCCAGGAATTAAGTTTTTTCTCCAAATATTTGAAAATTAGGCAGGCATGATGGTGTGTGAATGTAGTCCCAGGTATACAGGCAGCTGAAGAAGGCCTCTACCTCCTGCTATACACAAAAGTTAATCTAAAAATGGACCAAAACTATATACACAAAAAAGCTTAAACTATAGGTTGAAGTAGAAGAATCACTTGAGCCCAGGAGTTGGAGGCTGCAATAAACTATGATTTAGCCACTGCACTCCTCCCTGGGTGATGGAGTGAGATCCTGACTCTAAATAATGAATAAATAAATAAAAATAGTACAATTCAACAAGTATTTCTTGATTTTACAATATATTTGATATTCTAAATATATAAACAGGAAAAGCATTAGAAAAAAATCAAGGAATTATGAGAAATAACCTTTATATAAAATGTGTTTCATGTCTTATTGGTGAGACAGAGTTTAAGCAGGCTCACAAAATATTTTTAGAAACATAGTTTATTAATTTTAATATACATCTTTCCATTATAAACCATATCGAATAAGTAAATCATTGTATACATATTTTTACAAACTTAATGTACAGTATTTACCTAAAGGAGTAAAAAATGACATTTACAGTAGGAACTACATTATTTTTTTTCAAAATTTTCAAGGCTGTTTTAGATAGTAATGAATGAAAGTTTTATAATGTGAACTATGTTCCCCCTTACTGGGATCCTGAGGTGCACATGTATTATTTCTCTAATCATCCTCTGTTAACGCTGCCTTTGGCAATATAGGTGGAGTTACACATATTCTCTGCTATTTCAAATAGACTGGAACGATAGAGGTTCTCAGAAACAAAGGGCATATGGTACAAAGTTTGCCATTCTCAGAGGAGACAAGAAAAGTCAAAATAAGAAAAAGAAAAACGGTGAGGAAATAGAACAAAAGGATAAGATCAAGAAGATCTGGTTCTGCTTTAAGCCACCTAACATTTGTAATGCAGACATTTCATCAAATCCTGCTGCCTATATCTGTAACAAAGTTGATAAAATAAGAATGCTTCTGTTATACCTGGCACTTCTGTGTTTAGGTGAGAAAGCTGTGACTTTAACATGTTTACAATTCATGAAATTTACCATTTTTGTCCAATTAAGGATAGCCCAGGAGAGAGGAAGGGGATAAGATGATAATGAAACATATCAGTGCATATACTCCTTTTACAAATATGCCATGACCTATTTAGTAAAATTGTGAGAAGTGCCAGAGATACAAAAACAAACAAACAAAAAAGAGACAAGGTGATCTCATAAGGGAAATGAAGAGACAAGTTTCCTAAAATCACACATAACACTATCTGTAGAAGCAACAAAACTCTTCATGAAAAACTTAAAACTTTGAAGAACTTCAATTGTTTTACATTATTATTGCTTCTAATTAGAATATGTTTCTCTTCTGAATTTTAATTAGCGCTTTCCTTAATGCAACTTTGACATCCTTGTTCCTCAAACTGTAAATGAGGGGATTTAGCATGGGTACCACATTAGTGTAGAAAACAGAAGAAACTTTTCCCTGCTCCGTAGATCCAGAAGAATATTTAAGATACATGAATGCTGCTGACCCAAAAAAGAGAGAAAGTGCAATGACATGAGAGCTACAAGTACTGAAGGCTTTTGATCTTCCTTGAGAGGATTTGATATGAAGAATGCTACTGACAATAAAAACATAAGAAATGAGGATGGTGAAACTGGGTACTGTGATATTAATACCCACAACAATGAGAACAACCACCTCGTTGACATAGGTGCTGGTGCAAGAAAGCTGGAGAAGGGGGATTATGTCACACAAGTAATGGTTGATGATATTAGCACTACAGAAGGTGAGTCTAAGCATGCACCCGCTGTGGGCCGTGGCTCCAGCCAATCCCATTATGTAAGCAGCAAAAGTTAGCATAGAACAGGCCTGATGGGACATGGTGACCTTATAAAGCAATGGGCTACAGATGGCCACATAGCGATCATAGGCCATTGAGGTCAACATGTAGCATTCAGAGATGACAAAAAAGAGAAAGAAAAACAGCTGAGTCATGCACCCAACGTAGGAGATAATATTCTTTTTTGAAACAAAGTTCATTAGCATTTTGGGGGTGAAAACAGAGGAGTAACAGAGATCAATGAAGGAGAGATTGAAGAGGAAATAGTACATGGGGGTGTGGAGGTGAGAATTGAGACCAATAAGAGTGATCAAGCCAAGGTTGCCTACCATGGTGACAATGTAGATCACTAGAAATAGGAAAAAGAAGGGTTGTCGGAACTCCGGACGATCTGTTAATCCAGCAAGAATAAATTCAGTCACTAAGGAGTGGTTTCTAGCCAGCGTTTTCTGTCTTCAAAAATCTGGGAGGACAAAAGAAAATTCCGTTAATAGAGAACACAGCTTTCTTCTTAAAAACCCCCATTCATGAGGAGGGCACTCAGGCTGTAGGAATTAGGTTAAGTTCTTCTTTGTTTCTTGGAGTCTGAATGTACTGCCACACCCTGTCCTCAACATTTCAATGACTGTCTTTTCTCTGCACGGGCTGAATGTGACAAACAGTTGCTCCTGTCCTTACTAGAAGACAGAGGAGTGGAGTAGCTGAGGCACAGGCCTACCTGCTGTTGAGCTTGGTTTGTGGGGCTAAGTCTCATCTCCCTCACCTCCATCTGGCCCTGCACTTCCTAGTTTTTGCTTATTGTTTCCATTATTCTACTAGACACTTCAGTTTCCCTGTGATGACCATCAAGTAAGGGAAGATTTCTTTACAGCACAGACCATACCGATGTTCTGTTTCCTAGACAGGGGTCTCCTGCAGGGTTTCCAGATACCTTACCATAAGAATCCATGAAGTCACCAGTTGTTAACAGGAGACCTTTGGTAGTTGAAGCCTCATGATTCACCACATACAACTCACATAAGTGCTTCTACACATTTTCCTCTATCCCGTCCTAGCCAGACAGAGGATAAAGAAAGAAATGTGAATGTGTTTTCACAGGTCTTTGTAGGAGGGCATGAGAGAAACATAATTAATTTGGGTGCTAGTTATATTAGTGGTTAAGTTTGCAAAATTTTACCACACTGATATTTTTATGACACTTAAACTCTTCTATATGTATAGCACATGTCAATATATTTTTAATAAAGAGACAAATCTCTCCTTTCCTGACATTGCTCTGTTCTGGATGTGTCACCTGGAACTGCTCTCTCTATCTCATTAACAGGCTAAGAATAAGCCAACAGAGAGAACAATGTGAGAAACACAGGCCACAGAGTCAGAGTGCCATACCACTGAGTTTCTTGCTATTGAATAGGATATTTTTCCCCATTTTTCAGCAACATCCAGGAAAGAAAAATAGAAACTTGAGTAACTCACCTCCCTTCCACTCAGAGAGCTTAGTGCTGACCCTTAATGTGTGTTTCACCTCCACTGCCCTGGAGGAAGAACTGGCAGTGAAAGTGTCTAAGTTGACCAGATATAGTCAAAGAGTCTTCTCCCTTGACTGGCAAAAGCATTGAGTATAGCTCTCAGACTCTGAATGTTCTAGGAGTCACTTTGAGGTGTAGATCAAACTATTGTTTCTAAATTTGACAAGTGCTTGAAGGAAACCAGGCTTCATATCAAAGCCACCATGTTATAAAGACATGGCATTTGCTCAAAGCTTATAATTCTTTTGGATCTGATTAGAAATCCAGCAGTAAGTTTCTCTCAGGACTTCCCCTACCATGACAAACTCTTCAGGGAAGAAATTATATGCCTGTGTTTACAGTCCAACTTGTTGTAGTAGATGTAAACTTCTCATTAGGGACTGTACAGTCCACAGGGTGTAGGAGAGACAGCCTCTGTTGTCATGTGTAAAGATGTAAATATAATGATTGTCAGAAGTTTTGCTAATTGCAATTCTAGGTAGTATGTTAGCGTTAACAAAAATGTTTGTATAATTTAGTAAAGTTTATTGTGATGCTCATTTTTAATATTGTGGGTCCTTTTAAATAATCCATTTTTACTTTTGTATACTTTATACACATAAAAAAAGATATTTGAATTGAATTCAGATTTGGTAAATAACAATTTTGTTTAACATAGAATTATTTTTCATTTCATAAAATTTATTTACCTTGGGTTGCTCTAACTCGACATGTCTTTGCTTTTAACAGGTTAAAATCAAATCCGTAGAAAAATCAGTATGCCTGAATCATTTCAAGACAGTGTGATTTCAGAATTTTCCTGTACGTAGGAATTTGTGCTCATGAGAAGGTATCTATTTTTTTCCCTTTTTATTTTAAAATTATTAGAATTACAAGAAGTGACAAAAGTCATACGTAGAATCCCTTGAATTCTTCACCCAGTTTCCTCCCGTAGAGACATCTTCCGCAATTATAGGACAATAGGAAAATCAGGAAATTGGCATATGTTCAATAATGTCAACTAAACTATAGACCTTATTCAGCAGTTTAACATGCGTGTGTGTGTGTGTGTGTGTGTGTGTGTGTGTGTGTGTAAATCTATGAAATTCAATCCCATCTACTTTTTTTTCTTTCTTTCTTTTAGATAGAGTTTTACTCTGTTTTCCAGGCTGGAGTGCAGTGGTACAATCACAGCTCACTGCAGCCTCAACTTCCCAGGCTCAATAAATCTTCCCACCTCAGCCTACAGGCACATGCTATGACCCCTGGATAGTTTTTGTATTTTTTGTAGAGACAGAATTTCATCTTGTTGCCTAGGCTGGTCTTGAACTCCTGGATCAAACAATCCACCTACCTTGGCACTCCCAAAGTGCTGGGACTACAGGAGTGAGTCACCACACCCAGCCAAAAATATCCCTCTTAAAAGAGATGTGTAAATTTTTACTTATTTTTATTTTTTATTGATGATTATTTTATATATTTATGGGATACAATGTGGTGTTTTGACATATTTATGCGTCGTGGAACTATTAAATTAAGATCATTAACATACCATCAACTCAAATACTGATTTTTTGTAGTGCAAACACTTGAAATCTACTCCCGCTGCAATTTTGAGATATATATTGCATTATTATTAACTACAGTCTCCAGTCAGTGCAGTAGATTTCAAAAACTTATAGCTCCTTTCTAACTAAAACTTTGCACCCTTTGTCCAGCATCTCCTGATTCCCCCGACCCCAGCCTCCGGTAACAACCATTTTATTTTATTTATTTTTATTATACTTATTTATTTAAAAAATTTTGAGACCAGGTCTCACTCTTTCACCTTGTTAGAGTACAGTGGCACAAGCTTGGCTTACTGAAGCCTTGACCTCCTGGAGCAATCCTCTCACCTCAGCCTCCTGGCTAGCTGAGACTACAGGTGCGTGCCACCATACCCAGCTAATCTTTTTTAATTTTTGTAGAGACAGGGTCTCATTGTTTTACAGGCTGGTCTAGAACTCCTGGGCTCAAACAATACTCCCATCTTGGCCTCCTAAAATGCTGGGATTACAGGTGTGAGCCATCACACCAGCCTATTTTTAAAATTTTTATCATTTTTATGAGCTAATATTCCAAAAATATATGGTCATAATTATTAATGAAAATTTGGGCTTTCTTTTGGAATATAAATTCCTTATATCAGGCTTTGTGCTAGAAATGTCTATTTCCAATGCTTTATTAAGAATTTTTAATGAGTGTATCTCTAATTTCTTTTATAGTCACTGTTTTAGTTCAATACCTAAAGACTGGGTAATTTAAACAGAATTTTCTTGGCTAATGATTCTGGAGTTTGGGAAGTCCAAGAATGAGGATTCAGCATCTTGCAAGAGCCTTCTTGCTGTGTTATTACATAGAGGAAAGGCAGAGAGAGAGAGAGAGAGAGACTAGAGCTGCACTCATCCTTTTGAACCCTCTTGCTATATAGACATTAATCCATTAATCCATGAGGCGAGAACCCTCATGGCCTAATCGCCTCTTACAGGTCTCATTTCTTAATACTGCTACAGTGCCAATTAAATTTCAAGATGCATTTGGGAAGGGACGAACAATCAAAACACAGCAATTATCATCAAGAAGAAATTGTATATGAAAAGTGATGAGTTTTCAATAATTTGTATCACCATTTAACACTTTGCTATTAAAATCAGATTTTAAAAATATAAGAGCTTTTTTTCTTTCGTTGGCATATTTAATGTTGAATCAGTTTGGAATCAATTTCACTTTTTTTATTTCAAATATTACAAAATAACAAAGAAGCCCTACTTTGCGGAAAGTACGCATTGTTAGAGTAACCACATTGTGACCAGCTTAGATGCCACCAAAAGGCTGCATCAGCTGCTGTAAGAGAATATATGGACAGAAGTATCTGATCTAGGATACTTGTACAGACATATCTGATCTAGGGCTTCACTGCCTGGAGCAGTGGCCATAAGATTTCTGGCCTGCTCTCCAATCACCACAGAAGGCAGCACCTAAGGCCAAGCTCTGTGCTTCTTGAACACCCAAAACAAGCTCCACCAGCAGCTCCACAGGCCTCTTGTTCACAATCGTCTCTGTCCTTTCATCCATGTGACAGCTGTAACTGGTTTCCACATGGTGAAGTGCCTCTGTGGTTGGGCTGTGAAACAGAACAGTGAGTACCTAACTTGGCCAACTGCTCTTGCAGCTGGGAAAAGCATACCATCAGACACTCTCCACTCTTGCCTCCTGAGAGCATCCTTTTAGGCTCTGTAGGCTCTGTGCCTTTCACATGTGTTCTTATAGGGCTTCTATAGGAATAAAACTTTTTTCCAATTAAAATTGTATTTATAAAGCCAATACAATGGAAGGATAACAAAGATGTACGACACTACCCATAGCTTCAAGACATTCACCAATTTGCAGATACAATACTTCCAAATATCCACAAGTTGGTTTTAAAAATGCTTCATTTCTGAAATAGTTTTTATTTCAAATATCTAATTATATTAGTTTTTATTTATTTATGCATTTATTTATTTAGTTTTTTTTTTGAGACGGAGTTTCACTCATGTTACCCAGGCTGGAGTGCAATGGCGCGATCTCGGCTCACCGCAACCTCTGCCTCCTGGGTTCAGGCAATTCTCCTGCCTCAGCCTCCTGAGTAGCTGGGATTACAGGCATGCACCACCATGCCCAGCTGATTTTTGTATTTTTAGTAGAGACGGGGTTTCACCATGTTGACCAGGATGGTCTCGATCTCTTGACCTCGTGATCCACCTGCCTTGGCCTCCCAAAGTGCTGGGATTACAGGCTTGAGCCACCGCGCCCGGCCTTATATTAGTTTTTAAACCTACATTTGCATGTTTAATCATTTTGGTTTTATGTAAATTATAGCTTTAATTTTAGAAATTGAACATTTTTGCTAGGATGAACAAAAGAATAGAG